ACTCCACCACAGGCAGCCTGACTCCTGGCAAGGCCTGTCTGGATTCCTACACGCCAGCCACGCTGCCCAGCACGCCATCTGTGTGGGTACCGCTGGGAACTGGAATGCACAGAGGAAGATGGGTGGTAAGTCAGTTGCACTGCAGCAGCCTCAGGCATAGCCATCTTCCTGAGCAGCCCGGCCCAGCATTATCTGCTTTCAAATGTCTCCCGCTCCTCCAAGTCACCCTGACGTTAGCTACCAACAATGGCTGAATGTTTTCTGTGTGGAGGGCATGGTTCCATGATATTGTCATCTCCTCATAGGGACTGAAGGCTTAGAGACATTTAGTGGCTTGTTGAATTCACACGGTGATCGGCAGACCCCTCGCATTCATCCCTCAAACACCTCAAGGACAAAGCCTCCATCATTCTCCATTTGCCTATAGGATAGATGCCAAATTCCTCACTGGTAGGCAAGGTGCCATACTATCTCTCCACTCTTATCTCCCACTGGGCTCCAGCTGGACTCCCCTGTTCTAGACTGGCATGTCTGTGCCCTCTCCCCCACTCCCCCCAGGCTCACTCCCCATGCCCAGCCTTCTGTCCGTTGTTCCCACGACCTAGAATGTCCTGTTTTCTCCTTTGTGCCGACTCAAACCTGGTGACACAGGGCACAGCTCAGCCTTCCCTCTCGCCCAAGGTCCTCCTGCATGAAATGCTCCAGGCCCTACCAGTCGGGCTTCTCCCTTGATTCCTTCCACCCGGCCCCGGGGCACTGAGCACACACAGTTGTACACCAGATCAGGCAGCTGATTCACGGCTCCACACTTGATACTCTGTCGAACTGAATATTTGGACCCATGTGGATTCATGCATAGCGGTGGGCAAAAGTAGGTTAAATTACCAGCCATACTAAAAGATAAATCATAAGTAAGGATATGAAATAATAATAACAATAAGAACACAAATAATACAATAATCCTATATAATAAAGAGCTAATATGCTAATTAGATTGGGTGGCAGAATGACCTTCTGGAATGACCAGTGGCCCAGGGGTTGGGCTGTGAGGGTCGAGGCAGCCGGGCTGCGAAGGCCTACTCTTGCACGAATTTCGTGCATTGGGCCTCTAATTAATTAATAATAGTACAAGAATAAACTCTGGATTTTGAGTACTTACAACCTTTACAACGACTTTTGCTCATCCCTGTATCCACAGAGAATTTTCTCCGTTATCTGTTGGATCAAAACCCGGGGCAAAAACTGCTTTCCATGGACAAAATGATAAGTAGATGAAATTTATGATTGTTTTTTTCTAATATAGCTCCCCCCCTTCCCTGCAAGTTATTCCAATATGTGTAAGGTTACTCTTTTTTTCCCTACTATTTCCTACTATTTTTTTCTTTCCATTATGAAAATAATAATAATATAATAATAGACATATTACTGTCTTCTAGCTACTTTTCTAAGTGCTTCATGAGTATTACCTAATGTGGTCTCCCTATCAATCTTTTGAGGTAGGTATTTATTATTATTCTCTTTTGCAGATGAGCAAACGGAGTCACAGAGAGGTTAGGAAACTTGCCTAAGGTTATTTAATTATGATGCTATACCGCCTCACCGAAAATAATAATGTATTTTTTTATCTGATGGTGAAAGTAATGCCTTCGAAGTGCTTTAAAGCTCAGATAATAAAGAAAATATAAGGCCACACAGCTATAGTAACTGGAAAGCAAAACGTGTAATAATTTACTGTGAAATGAGCATGAGTTCCAAATTCTAATGCTAAGACTGCTGGAGAGCTGGGTCACAGGGCTGAGGCTGTGCAGGCGAGGCCCAAACCCAGACATCAGTTCCTACCACGCAGCCACGGCAGAAGAGACAGAAGGCAGAGAGCAAGAACACAGACCTGTTCTGAAAAATCAAAAGCAAAAACACAGCGTGAGGAAAATGTCACCCGTAACCCTGTAACCTACGGAGAACCAAATGCCTACTCAAGCAGATACAAATACGCATTAGTTCCCATTTCAGACATGGGAACATACTGTACATCATGAGATTTCTTTTTTGTCCTTAATTCAAAATTTTAAACAGCTCTGTTGAGGTATAGTTTATATACCATTACATTCTCGTTTTAATCATTCAAAAATTTTACTGATAGTACAGAGTTTTGTAATCATTACCACAATCCCATTTTAGACTATTGTATCACCCCAAGAAAATCCCTCATACCCATTTGCGCTGACTCTGCATTCCCACTCCCACCCCCTGGCAACTACAAGTCATCTTTCTCTCTGTATTGATTTGTCTATTCCGGACATTTCATGCCAATGGGAACATACAATGTGTGGTATTTTGAACCTGACTTTTACTTAGCATAGTATTTTCTTTTCTTTTCTTTTTTTAATATATTTTATTGATTTTTTACAGAGAGGAAGGGAGAGAGATAGAGAGCCAGAAACATCGATGAGAGAGAAACATCGATCAGCTGCCTCCTGCACACCTCCCACTGGGGATGCGCCCGCAACCCAGGTACATGCCCTTGACCGGAATCGAACCCGGGACCCTTCAGTCCGCAGGCCGACACTCTATCCACTGAGCCAAACCGGCTCCGGCAGCATAGTATTTTCAAGGTTCCATCTTGCTCTAGCACATACCACTAGTTTACCTCTTTTGATAGTGAATAATATTCCATTGGATGTATATGCCACATTTTGCTTATTTATTCCACTCTTGTTGGACATTTAAATTATTTCAAATAAACAGTGTCGCTTTGGTTATTCATGTAGAAATGTTTGTGTGTACATAATGTTTTCATTTCTCTAGGGTAGATATGTAGGAGTGGAATTGTTGGGTCCTATGGTAAAGTTTCCAAAATGGCTGTGCCAATTTACATTCCTACCAGCAACATATGAGAATTCTAGCTTCCCTACATCCTAGCCAACACTTGCTATTGTCTATGTTTTTATTATAGCCATCCTAGTGGTTGTGAAGTGATATCTCGTTTCGATTTGTATTTCCCTAATGACTAATAACCAGCATCTTTTCATGTGCTTATAGGCCATCCAAATATTTTCTTTGATGAAATGTCTACTCCAAATGTTGCCCAAATTTCAATTGGGCTGCCTTTTTATTATACACTCCCACAGTTCTTTAGGATTGGTGATCGAACCTACAACCCAGGTGTATGCCCTTGACTGGGATTCGAACCTGGAACCCTTTGGTGTGCGGGCCAATTCTCTAATTACTGAACAACACTGGCCAGGATTCTTTTCACTTTCTTTTTAAAAAAATTCTATTTTTATTGATTTCAGAGAGGAAGAGAGAGGAGAGAGATAGAAACATCAATGATGAGAGAGAGTTGTTGATCCGCTGCCTCCTGCACACAACCCCCCACCGGGGATAGAGCCTGCAACCTGGGTATATGCCCTGACCAGGAACTGAACCGTGATCTCCTGCTTCAAATGTGACACTCAACCACTGAGCCACTTTCTTAATGGGGCAGAAATGTTTTGATTTTTCATTAAGTCAATCTATCAGTTCTTTAGAAGCACAAAGGTTTTGAATTTTTATTAAGTCAGTCTATCAATTTTTTTCTTTCATCGCTTGGGCTTTTGGTGTCATATCTAAGAAGTCCTTGCTTAACCCTGCCATGTTTTAGAATTGTCCTGCCTCCACCCGCCACTTGTCAGCATGTCTTGGATATCTTTCTACCTCAATAAACACAGATCTGCTTCATTATTCTTTATGCATTTGGTTTCTAGAAAGAGGGGAGGAAGGAAAGGAGACCACAGGGTCAGACTACTCCAAATATCCAGGACCATGCTGTTCATCCTTGGGGCGTTCCTAATTCCATTTTGAATCATCTCAGGTCTGGTACCTCCTTTGTGGTTGTGTTTTGTGAATAAAAACTTTATTAGGTCATTAACTTTATCATAACATCTTATGTTTTAATACCTTGGTCACATAGATTCCTGGTCCCAAATTTTCTGTAGGCTTAAATTCCTCCATCCCAGATTCCAGGGATGGGATGCTCATATGGTTCCCCTGTAATGGAGATTTGACAGCCGCTGGGTCCAGCATTTACTTCACTCTCTAAAACTGACTGAGCTTTGGGAATGACTCAGCTCCAGCTAATGTATTAAAACGTAAATATGGAAAAAGAAAAGTAAATTGTAGGTAACAGCAATTAGCACGTTGGTTTTAATGGAAGACTTAGGGATATTCCTGAACAAAATAGTGGTTATCATTTAACAAGGTCCAGAATGAGATGAATGGTTGCACCCTTGCCTTTATCCAGAGAGGAGTTTCACTGGCTCGATGGGGAGGGTATGAGGTATTGTGCAAAGCTAGACCCTTTTTTAGGAACTACATTTTAGACAGAGAACAGTAATGGAGAAAATCCAGTGAGCAAAAGAGCCTCTAAGAGGGACCTCAGAATAAGAATGGGAAAGGCAGGTTAGAGGATTTCAGAGCTCCGTGCTGAAAATGCTAACCTGCTGAAAGAGAGGGTCACTACACAACCATTTTGATGAGAAGCCGAAGTGGGATGGCCAGGATCCTTTGTAGACCTGGCCCCCTAAGATTGGGGCCCAGAATTTGGAACCTGAGTACTGACACTGGGGAAAAGCAAAGAGCAAGGGGGAAAGATGTAAGAGCAACCCCCGGGCTGCACCATGGCCATTGCAAGGTCAGGGAAGTGCCCTGGGCCAAGTGGTACACAAGGGCCAACAAAGAGCTCCCCGCAAACTGGTAGGTAACTATATGAGGCTGAGAAATGCAGAGGGAGATCATTCTAGGAGGTCCTTTAAGCATTAACCTTAGGTCTTTAACTTTTGTGGGGGTTTTTTTCACATGGAAAACAATACCGGGTCACTGCTCGGGGAGGAAGGACAGCTGCTGTGTGCATGGAATATACTGGAAGCTACTGCAGAGATTCAGACGTGAGGAAGGCTAGCGTGATACCGGCAGCTCTTTTTCTGTTGTGTAGGAAGAAAGGATCACCAAGCTTTTAGGGACGGATGGCTGTGCGGGTACAAAAAGATACAAACATGGGTGGGGGTGGGGTGAGGTGGAGTGGGGGTGGGGCGAAGGCTGTAAGAAGATGGAGGGTTTTTTGGAGGTGGTGTGATTATATACGTACAGCAAAATGCACAAATCTTAAGTGTGGAATGAATTTTGATAAATGTCTGCATGAGGTTTTTTTAAAGGCTGAGTTTTGCCTGCCTGCAGATCCTAAGTGAAGCTGCCTCAAAAGCAAGAAGCTATATGCACCTTAGCGAGAGAAGCAACACAGGCAGGAACTATAAATTTGAAAGTTATGCCAGCAGGTTGCAATTTTGTGAGCAAACAAACACAAGCACAGGAAATAGGAACTGGAGAAGAGAGAGGTCCAATTTTTGGTGCGCTTGAAGCCCACACACTGGGGGTCTTATTTGCGGGTTTAAGTGCAGAGACTTCTTTTTTTTT